AGGGAAAGGAATCCGGGCAAGTCACAGCGGGTTTGGATGCCTAAAACAGGGTTTAGGCACCAAATTCAGAACTCTGAAGCAGAAAGCACTAAATCCTAAAGCTAAAGCAGATGAACTTTGGTGTTGCTCCCCCGATATCATGTGCTAAGCTTCTGGCAGGACCCAGGCCTGCCTGACCTTGGTGGCCGTGCTCTGTCACGTCATCACTGCCCTGGTGCCTGGCCATCACCCAGGAGCCGTGCGCGGTCCAGCCAGCACGGACCCCTGCAGGGGTGCAACTGAACACCCAACTGCCAGCCCTGGCAGTGGCCTTGGGCATGGTACAGCACGCAGCTGTAGCCAGAAGTTTGTTTGGAACAGAGCCAGCTAGCGCATCCCCCTTTTTCTAAATAATATCCTGCAGGTCGAGCAGTGACCCAAGAGGCGCAGGGCTACCCCATTCTCTCCTCAGGCAAAGGGGTGCCAGATCTTCCCCTTCTACATTACTCAAGGGGAGCATGTGCTACCAGTACCTCAACATCCTCCCAAAACCCTTCAGTACCTGCAGCGTTAGGAACCTGAAGAAATGGATTTCCACCAACTAAGGACCAGCTCTGCCAATTTCTGCTGAAGTTCAACGGCACCGTTGGTTGTAATTACCTTTATTAACAATTGCAGGATTCAAATCTAATACCGAGCCTGTCTCATGGGTCTCATCCCGTCCACATTTATGCCATTGGCTTTCAGCTCATAGTTTGCAGACCCCTTGAGCTCTGCCAACCGCTTCCTAAGAGCGACAACTGCAAGAAGCCAGACTTAATTTTGCCACCTGAGGCTTTGCACCTTCAACAGAAGACATGTAGGAATTCACAAATTAAAAAATAAAATAAAACAAAATAAAATCACTGCTTCATGCAGTAATTCCACAGCTTCTTGAGATGACACCCATAAATCAGATTACCTGTGTAAATGTTTGACAGGACAATGTCCAGATGATTCTTACACTGTAATATGTATTTCCAGTCAATTTTTGCTCCCCTTTCCAAACTGTGTTTGCTGTGCTGCACAGACTTTCCTCCTCAGCCTAATCTCTGTGTAACTTAACTCCTGGCAACTTTTTTGCTTACTTTTCCTCTGTTTCCCAACTCTTTGAAGATCTGTATTTTTTGGACTGCCACTTCTGGAAAAGATGTTTCCCAAGCGTTAGGCGGTGCGCACAGAAGAGATTTTACCTTTTACCAGAACAGGGCTACGCACAGTCATATTTGTCTGCCTGGCTTTTAGACCACAGGTTAAAACTAAGCATCAGGAATTGGAAGGACTCCGTTCCTCAGAGAGAGTAGCATCTGCTTTTGAAGGTGGTTCTGTGAATGAAACCGCAGTTGGGAGGGCTCCATTGGGGGTCGGTTTGGTTTGGGGTTTGCTTTTTTTTTTTTTTTGTCTCCTGGAGTTATTCATATCCCGAGTGGGCAGAACCCCCCGGCCGCTGGAATGCGAGCGCTGGCGGCTCTGCCCCGGGGCCCAAGTCACTCATCCTCTCACACACGCTCCCTGCGCGGCAGCTGAAAGGAGTAAACACAGCCGCTCTCTCTGGTAGGAAATCTCCTAATGCACTGTGATATTGCTTTTCCTTTTCAGTTGTCGGGTCTGGGGAGAATGTTTTTAGTAAGAAGCAAGGAAGATGACAAATTCCTGGCGCGGGGCCAGTTTTAGCCTCCAGGATCGGTAGTTAAAGTTTACATTTACATTTTAAGCACGTGCACTCTAACATTTTGCCACTACAAATACGTTTGTAGAAGTTCTTAAGAAGAGCATGTGATCAGTAGCAGAGGATAGTGAAGGTCTGGCCATCAAGCGAGGACGTATACATCCATAAATGCAAAACCAGGAAAAAGGCTATTAAATAATTGCCGGTTTAGTGTGACAAAAGGCCAGGCATAGAAATTATTTGTTGCGCTGTTTTCTGGTATTGTTCTCATGCCATGCTGGGCTGCATTTAGCATGTGATATCTCTGAAAAATGTAACGGATCCAGGCAGCGCGCCCGATTGCAAGGTAGCAGGTAAAGGGCCAGGAGTCTGCAATCCTGGCCCCAGGCGCGCCAGCAACGTGCTGCCTGCTCCGCGCTCGCTCCCTTCATCGGTGTGCCCCGCTGCCTCCTCAGCTGTGAAAGGGAGATATAAGATGCCTCAAGGAATATCCTTGGGAAGGGACAAGTGTTGCAAAACTGCAACATTTCTTGCAGTGTTTTCCTCCTGAATCTGGGAATGAGCAAATGAATGTAAATGTGTATCTGCTGATGAGACTGTAACATAAAGCTGCTGAAATCCCAGAGGTGAAGTCCTCTTTGTAACTTCGGTTTGTACAGTTTCCTTTGGTCCACGTAGAAATAGAGAGCTGAGCATTTATTCATATGATTTTTAAAAGGCAGGAATTTTTGTAACAAAGGTAAGGGTAGTCAGTCTTATATCCATGTCATAACGCTGTGTGAGACAGAGCTTCTAGTCATGGGACGAGTAAGAATTAAACACAGATACACTGAAAACCAGAAACTGCTATATCTGAATTGCCCCTCTTAATTAGCAAAGAATCGATCATCCAGAGATGCTCACCTCTGTCAGATCCCAATGAAGGGAACAGGTCTTAAAAACATTTAAATCTGTGACAACATTAATCTTACCACAAATGGTTCAGAACACTGAGCATTACCCTTAGGAGCATGCATGTTTTGAAGCAGCGGCAGGAAAACCCTGATATGCTCCCTGCATTTCTAACAGCAAGCGCTTCTGCCATCTGATCCCCTAGAAATTCAAAAGCAGCAGTTCAGGAAATTATTTTCTGCTGGCTTTGTAATTTTGCCAGGCACTGGACATCCACCATGCACCCCTTGGCCCTTGCAGTCTTTACCATTTGAAGGGAGACGGAAGGGCCAAGTGCTGGCATATAAAGGGACATTATGCTTGCCCAGAATTTTCCCAGTCTGCAACAGTTTCCCCTCTTAATGCTATTACAAAGAACAAACACAAGCCCAACGATTCACACTGGTTTATCTAATTTGAGGAAAACTCTAATGAGTTTTGTTGTGTTTTGTTTGCAGAACAGAGTGTTCTGGCAGTCCCCGCATGGTAGAGCGGACCTGCAAGCAGACGGCACGCTGCTGTTTACCCTGAAGAAGCGAGTGTGTGTGCTGGAAAGCGCTGACCGCTCTAATGGATCGCATGGAGCTGCAAAAAGTCAACATCGAACTCGATGATCAGAGCAACAGTGGGGAAAGCCTCGAAGACAACTACACGGAGCTGGTCGATTCGGAAAAGGCTGCCATTAGGAGGTAAGCATTTAAGTGGGAAGGCTGTTCTGTTAAGGGTAGAAAGCAGTAATCAAAAAATAAGCTTCACTAATGGCATCTGGAACTCAAAACCCTTCCTAGGTAATACACTGAAATCAGTGTGATTGTTTAGCTCGCGTTTTCCCACAGCTCCGAGCCTCCCTGCTCTGGGCCCCGCAGGACCGTGTGTCCCAGCACAGCAGGGGCAGCCCCCACCCGGAGTGACCTCTGCAGGCTCCCAGCCCCGAGCACCCCCTTGGCAATTCCCAGCCCCTCCCGCCAGATAGTACATGTGTAAACTAATACCCTCCCAGGGCAGCGCAACCTGAGCACGCTGAGAGCGGGGACGCTTTCCAGGGCAGGGTATGGAGGGCAGCAGCCCCAGTGCTCCCACGGGGACAGCCCCACCCTCAGGCATCTCCAGCAGGACCCACCATAGCACCAGCACCTGGGTGGCCTGAAAAAGACATCTCAGAACCAGCCATCAGCCTCCAGCTCTCAGCATCCTGAGCCCCCCGGGCACGTATCTCCAAGAGGGCAGTTGCAAGGCGCTTTGTTCCTCGGATGTGAAGTACGTGCTCAGCTTTAGCACATCGCTGGCAGTAAGGAATTGTTACTTTCCAACATCTGCAATCAGGTATAATTTGAAGATTGCTGGTTTTAAAACAAAATTCCAAAGCAAAACAAAGATCTATTAAACATGCCATTGGACATGAGAATCTTACAGGAAAAAAGAGGGGGTTTTTCTGAAGGATTTTTAAATATTCATTGCAATGTCAAAGGCAAGTTTCCACTAATGGCAAAAGGCACTGCTTGAACATAATGTGTGTCATAAGCCTTATTTAATATTTTCTTATTTTTCTTTGTGTTCAGTCCATTTGCTAGTGATGATGCAGAAAGTCAGAAATTCCTTACAAATGGATATCTGGGTAAAAAAGAATTGGAAGAATATAATGAAGAATATGTAAGTTCTAATCATTTCTAAGGGTAATTACAAAGTAAATCTTATTGACCTGAATCTTTTTTCAAAAGTTTCAGTAAAAAAAGTTACTCTGGAACTTCATGGGACAGTCACGTTTGGCTTTACAGCGCTGAACATGACACGCTCAGCACAACTATTTGGAACCTCCACGTGCAAATGGAAGCACAGCAATGGTTCCTGGGGTGGGTGTGTGGGTATTTCTCTGCTCACAATTTAACTTTATTCAAAGTTCCCTGAATTTGATGCAAAGAAATGCATGGTTTTATTGGTCACATTACAGGTTTTATCGAGACTGTTCAATCAAAACCAAAAAATACAATTTGTGATTGCAAGCTAAAATTAAAAGCCATATATCCCCCCCCTTCCCTTTCCATTTTGTGGCAGATGTGATTCCCTCACATACCATCCCTCATCTCCTTGTTTTTTGTCCTCTCACACTCTCCTGCCTCCATCCCAAGCCACACAGTGCTTCCTTTTTCTCCTCCAGACACACTTTTAGTTCCTACTTGGAGAAAAAGCTAATAATCAGTTGGTTTAATTAAAAAAAAAAAATCTGAATTTTTTAAATCAATAATTGGGCAATGTGTTAGATAACAGTATGTATTTCTGTAGAGGCTGGCCAACAGAGCCAGTTGTGGCTATGTCACTTCATATGTGCTCAGGAACCTTGATAAGGCTCCACCTCTAAGGATCAAGAGAGCAATATAGGGAACACCAGCAAGGAGGATAAATAATCTGTTGTGGCCAGTAAAACGCAAATTAATTGTCATTTTCTGTCCTTGCTCCCAACAGCACCGGGGCAGAGCTTCCTTTGGAATGTCCTCGTTCAACCTCAGCAACGCCATTATGGGCAGCGGCATCTTAGGGCTCTCCTATGCCATGGCCAACACGGGAATTATCCTTTTCGTGTAAGTACATAGAAATGAAAGCAAATAGAATATAAGGAGTCAGCTGGAGCTGAAGTCTTTGTGGTTAGAGAGGTACATTAAGCTTGTTTTGTTAGCTGAAAAGTTTTGTAAGATCATCTGTAATGAAAACATTTTAGCTGCACCACAAGGAACCGTCCACTGCTGACAAACCATTTTTTTTTAATTTTAGCCCTGTTTTGTATCAGGAATACAACTGTGAATTGATACTATGCAGTCAAAAACCGGAGGGGAAGAACAGTATACTGATCCTAAAATAACAACAGCAAGCTTGCTGGTTCAGTATGGGAATTCAACAAGGGGAATAAATCACCCATAAAGTATATATTTACATCATCCCAACTATCTAATCACTATGTAGAAATGGAAGAAGAATACTCGATATAAGTCTGAAATAGCAGCATGCTTTGAATGCAAAGACATTCACAGATTTATTCAGATTTAACGTTGCTCCCTGAAGTCTATTTGTACTCAATGTGCACAGATGACAGCAATGGTATGTGGCTGACACACAGTATCTATACAAAATGAGTTTTGATAGACAGTAGCAGATAGCCATGTGATGTTTTTTAATCTATGGCTAACCTTGTAAAATGAGAGAGACTGTAAAAAAAAAAAAAAAGTTGGTTTTCTTTTTTTAATAATTAGTTTTAATTTTAACTGAAGCCTTCATTTTAATTCCCCGTGAGGCTGGAATAAAGCATGACAGTACTGTACAACAATAGGCCATTGTTTTACATTACTGAGCTCTAACAAGCCTTTAAATCAGGTTGTATGGCCATCTTTATACGGCTTCTTTCTTCTGGTGATTGTGCAACTGCAACAGCCACAGCGTTTGAAATGCTACATGTAGCTTCCAGTTGCTAAGAAACACCTCCTCTCTTGCCAGGAGAATTTTTAACTGAAAATTAATTGTAGATGCAAATGTTGTCCTGGATAAGTACTTCCCAGCACCTGCGCTCCAATGGTTTAGATGTAGTATTTGCAGATACAAAAATGGAAGCCGGTTCTAAAATTGACTGCATTAGAATCTGAAAAATGTAGGACTTTTTTTTTCTCCAACTTTCTCTGAGCACTTGTGCTAACTAGTATGGCCATAATTTATCACTGGAAAGAAAACTGTGGTACATCAAGCCTCGCTAGGGGAAAAAAAATTACCTTTGTAATATCTTTATTTTTAAGGCTCTGTTTATTCACACAGGTGGCTAAAAAAATGTGATACAAGCCTCATGACATTAGCTCTGTTGGCAGTGCTAAAGCAAGGAGTAATGCTAAAGCAGCCCTATAGAGTCTTATACAGCAGAAACAAAGGACGTCTCCACCCCACGGCTCATTTCCTTTTCTGTCATACTTCCATACTTTCTGCATGAGAACATCCTCCCTTCTGGTAGAGGAAGGAGTTTTATTTAAACGTACAAAACTGTGTGGGGATAATGTTACCGCCATGGCACGCATCCACTTGTCAAAGGTTCCTCTGTTTTCATAGATTGTGATGTTAGCATTAGCAGGACAGAAAAATCCCATCTACTAAATGGAAACTGCTGGACATTAATTCTAATTTAGACAATGCTCACAGCATTGTCTAAATTTTTGTAATTTACTGTTCTCATGTTGCCAAAGTGCTCTTGTGCTAGAAGATGTTCTACAGGGTGAAGGTGGAAGGAGTGTTCCTAAAACTCAGAAGCTCTCCAGAAGTTCCCATTACATCCTCCTCTCCCATGGGGGAGGTTTGCAATGGCACAGAGCACACACTAAAACATCTCTTCTGCTGCCTGGCATGATCTAGCAAGTGCAACCAGGATGGCTTTGGTTTACCACACCTCATGTGTCAGGACACGGAGACCATGTCTCTGAATAGCAGCTACACGGGTGCCCCTGATCAAGCAGGATGCTGTCTAGGCGGGATACATTTCAAGCTCAGACAAGATCCCCCCTATCCATATTGCATGAGCCCACAACATGAGAGATGACCCTGCTTACGTGAAGTCTGTAGTGCTGTCTGTCTCTCTTGGAGAAATAAACTTGAGAGAAAAGTGATGGTCTGGTGGCCATTACCTAGCCTCAGGCCCTCTGTCTCCTCTTAGACTGTAACTCATTTATGAACTTGGCTGCCAGTGTCTCCAATATCTATACCAAACCACGTTTCAGTGGAGTGGAAGGTGTGGGCACAACCTCCTGTTCAGCCATGGAGTAAGGCACATCAGTATTTCCTAGCTCTGCCGCGTTGTCATCACGTACCCTTCTGCACCAACACTTGTGCAGGCTGATGACAAGATGGTTATGGTAATAAGATATGCTGCCCATGGTGGTGTGCCCTGAAAATGTCATACGAATCTACATTTTTCACCAGCAGTTTGCAGGATGCAAATGTTGTGTAGAAAGAGCATAGCAGTAATCAGAATTAATGACTTCAGGCACCAGTACCTTCATGCAGACTAGGCTAGAAGAGTATGCTGCAAGTGCTCCAAGAGCAGGTTTTCCAATGTCATGCCAAGCTTTAGCATTATGCAAGATTTCTAATTTACGTTGCAAAGTGAGCATCTCAGGCTAAACTCCATAACTTCATGATGACATGGCAGAAGTCAAAAGTAGTGACTAGCCAGGAGCTGGCAGTGTAGTTTTCAGAATCATGGATTGGGGGGGAGGTTGATAGCTCTGAGTAAGGAGAGCGATTAAAATGAGTGGTCAGTGAGCTGGTAAGAGACCAAAGTCTCTTGCACAGAAATCTGTTTACTTCAGTAGGGTCTTGTTAAGATGTAAGATTCTGTCCTTGTGGAATAACGCAAAATTGGAACCTACCTGCACTTAAACAAGCCTTGAGGGGGTTCTGCAGTGCATAAGGTGCCACTGCACTCACAAGTAAGCTACAGCTGAGACTTATATCTGCATTTAGCACTGGGAGTCCAAGGCACAAACTTGCTGAAAACTATTTACACGTTAAACTTCATGAGAATGAGCACACGTACATTTGAATTAACAGAGTGTCTCTGATGTCCTGATTCTGATTGCTGTTTTGCCTTGCAGAGTTCTGCTGCTCAGTGTAGCAATACTGTCGCTCTACTCGGTGCACCTCTTACTGAAGACAGCAAAAGAAGGAGGTATGAGGATCGGGCTGTGACTGACGGAGTTCCTACCACATGCATGTATTTTACCTTGGAATGCAATTCATCAAGTGTATCCAGTGGAGTGGCCCATGTTTATTTTTTGATTTGTTTTGGGGTTTTTTTCAGGATCACTAATATATGAAAAACTGGGAGAAAAGGCATTTGGCTGGCCTGGGAAGTGTAGCGTTTTCATTTCGGTAACAATGCAGAACATTGGAGGTAAGGGGCAAAAGTTTTTAGAAAAATGTTTTCTAACTTGCGGTGCTTTTCTACAGAACGTAAGTGCTTTCTCTTCTCTGTCGGGCTAAAAGGCATCAGAAATGAGCCAGGTACAGTATACACTGTACTGTAATAAGGAAGGGCAGGAGGAATTCATCTTGACTTGTTTCAGCTATCTGACACTTCAGTGTCTGGTGAAAGCTAGTTGCCTGGGATCTCTCCATGACCAGTGAAGAGACTTCACTGACAGCTAAAATGGCTTGGCTGACTGTCCTCAAGGAGTTGGCCATCTCTCTTCATTGAGTACAGCTGAGACCAGACATCATCTGCTTCAACTTAGAAAAGATGAATTCCAATTAAAAGGAAAAGCACATGGTTCTGACTTCTCCATAAAAGAAAGGCCCTTCAGTAGTTCGTTTTCCAGCTCAATTCTCTCCTTGAAATGGCAGTTGGGTTGTGATGTCTCTAAGATGTTGAGTGTTTAAGAGTGATTGTTGAAAGTATTGATCCACACAGATACTTCCTGTGAAATATCTATCAAGTAATCTCCATCCTCTCAGAACAGGAGACTGTTTACTTACCAATGCAAGCAGTAGGGGTAGGACTGTGCCTTCATGTAACAAAACTTATTTCCTTTTACTACCCTGGGAAAAACCTTTTAGGACACTGGGGAACACCATATCTGAAAGCTCAGGGGTGTTTGCAATTTTTTCCGGGTTTCTTAAGCAGAGATGTTGAAATATGAATTCAATGCATCACTGGCCAATTAAATGTACATAGATTTTTTTGTGATCTCTCTTTTGGAACTCGGTATGTTTTGCAAATCTTCAATCTTCCATCTTCAACTTATCTACCCAGGCAGAAAGAGTTCACATTTCTCTACTGCAAGAGACTTTCATAAAAGATCCTATTCCATGGTCTTCCTTTCCTTACTCAAGCCTGTGTATCAAATGTAGCTGAATTCAGGAAGGAAATATGCTTCCCTGTTAGAGAGGAATAGCTGTTCCTCTAGTCCAGTGGTTTTCAACCTCTTGTCTATATTGATCCATAGGTATGCGGAGACCTCTCTGTGGCCAACATAAAATAACGTCAAAAAGCACGCCTTCTGGCAACACATTTAAATGAGGTGTATAGAAGTCCACCCTTACGTCAGGAATCTTGATAACTTGATATCTTTTTTTTTAAAAGAGTAGTGGAATATGGAGTAGAGTAGCAGAAGAAAGAAGCTGAAAATAGAAGGGATGAGGTAGATGAAGACATTTTAGAGGCAGTAACAACTAAAGTTACTACAGAATGTGGATGGACAGTGTCCACTGGAAAAGCAACATTTACAACAGAAAAGCAAAAGGAAAAATTAAGAGTGTAAATTTCATCAGAACGGCGATTTGAGTACGTTGTTAACTCAGTAATAACTGCATTGTATTCTAATACTGAACGCTAGGTGCCATGCAGAACATGCTCATGACAGTATCAAGGGAACATACCATCTCGTTAGTCACGCTGCCATTTGAACAAAATTCATTTCTCTATTTTAGCAAAAACTGTTTTCCCAAAAAAATATGGTTTTCATGCAGCGTTAATGTTTCTTAAAACAAATTATTTTTATTGGAACTACACCGTTTTCTCTGAAAGTGTTTGTTTGGTTTTTTCAGCAATGTCAAGCTACCTCTTTATTATTAAATATGAACTTCCTGAAGTGATCAGAGCATTTATGAAACTTGAGGAGAGTTCTGGGTAGGTACCTTTGACCAACCTGAACCTCAGATGATTTTTTTTCACTTTGATGTCAATGATAAAGGTTGGGGTTTTTTATTCCTCCTCTTTAGAGAATGGTACCTAAATGGGAACTACCTCGTCATACTCGTAACAGTTGGAATTATTCTTCCCCTCTCCCTTCTAAAGAGTTTAGGTAAGATAAGTGCCCCACTTAACCTCATTTCTTATTTCTGTTAGGACTGTGAGCTTATATATAACTGAACTGTATTTTTTTTTCCTTGCTTCACAGGTTATCTTGGATATACAAGTGGTTTTTCACTGACCTGCATGGTTTTCTTTGTCAGTGTGGTAGGTGACCGTTTGGGTATTGTCTCTAAGCAAATACAGAACCTGTAAACTGTGCAATGCTGTTATGTTTTTTATCATGACAATTGCATGTGGATGTTAGAATAGCACCTGCAAGTGAGTCAAATCAACCAGCCTATTGCTGAACAAAGTCAGAATGAAAAAAATCAGCCTAAAAACCACTTGAGAATAAAAAATAAAGCAGGACAACAGCAGAGGTAGAGTAACAACAAATACTTGCAGGAGAAGCAGAAGTGATAGAACTTGGTTTCTTGCTCCCACTCTTTTCCCTTGTTTGTTTGAGTGCCGGTTTATATTTCTGTTGGCATATCACGGCTGCAAGTGTAATCTCCTATGGTGGCACTCCTCTGATGACATTGTCTACACTTTTGTAGGTAATCTTCAAGAAATTCCAAATACCTTGTCCTCTCCCCATCATGGACCATGGGGTTGAAAACTGGACCGCCACCAATAACACAGTGCCAATGCACCTGGTCATGTTACCAAATGAGTCTCTCAGTTCTGGTGTGAATTTCATGATGGACAACACAGTTGGGCACTTGCCGGGCCTCGAGGAGCCAAAAGATACCTCCCCCAAAAGTGGTGTAGAATATGAAGCACACAGCGACAGTAGTGACATGTGTCAGCCAAAATACTTTGTGTTCAACTCACGGGTAAGGGAGTTTCCGTAGAATTTGTCTTTAGCCATTCGTACCACAGCCAAACTGCTGCCTGCCAAAAGTCAGAGGTACAGCAGTGACCATTCTTACTAATGGGAGCTTTATTTTACAGACTGCCTATGCAATACCCATCCTGGCATTTGCATTCGTATGCCACCCTGAGGTGCTACCAATATACAGTGAACTGAAAGAGTAAGGTTCTTAAATTTTGTCCCATACTTCCAGTTAACCATAGCTAGAAATCACTTTCTATGTCTTCTGCCTTGATTGGTGGTGGTGTGTAGACACCCACCTGCTCATGATTTATTGCATTCCATAGTAAGCAGATATTGGCTTTGCTTTGACCTAATAGTCAGACACTGGTGACAAAGACACACTGTTCAGATAGCCACCTTGGTCGATATTTCCTTAGGAAAGGAGGAATCTGGACAGTCCGAATGATGTGAAATGTACTGGGGAACTTGGTTGCACTGAGACAGATAATTCTGGTTTCTAAAAATATCTTAATGAGTTCTGTGTCTGGGTCAGCTGCTGCTAAAGTTTCTTGGGATGCGATTGTTTTGGGTGTCTTACATAGGCTCTTAACCCAGACTATTTTGCTTATCAAATACACTTGCTTAAGTCAGCACAGAGCTGACAGCTGGGAAGAGCTAAGAAAACACATTTGTTCAACAGCAAGAATTATGTTACAGGAGGTTTTGCTGCAAAACTCAAGGAGGCCAAGACCCATTACCTCCTGTTTCAGGAGGTTTAACCTCAGAAGAAATTAAAATTCTTGGATGACTTGGGAACCTGCTTCCAGGTCCTATATGCTGAAGATTTTCTTACACCAAATCTTTAACCAAAGGATTTCTAAAGAAAGTATTTGACCTGCAGGAGGTTCTTGAACCTGCAGAACAGCCCTATGTAGATACAAGGGTATGTTCGTATAGAGCTGACTGAAAGCTCTTGCCTGTTATCATTACCTGCCCTGTAATTTTAGCCACTCCATTTTTTATTTAAAATACATTATTTGAGATCGATAGTATATAAATAATGATATACAAAATAACATGGCACACTTATATGTTGTCACTAAGTAAGCAGTAGAAATGGAGTTTCAACACACTTTCATAAGTCTGTGCTGTTCTGCATAGAGCTGCCAGGCTTCAAGTACAGAGCTCTGTATAACTAGCATAGTTGCTATGATCTTGCTAGGCAGTGAGGGGATGTCAGCAGAGCTATGACTCTTCAGAGTACTTCTTGTGCAAATGGAGGCTTTAGAAGAATAGCACTGTTACTTTCTTTCTCTCCTACTTCAGTCGTTCCCGAAAACGGATGCAGAATGTCTCAAATATCTCCATCACTGGCATGCTTGTCATGTATCTTCTGGCTGCCCTCTTTGGATATCTTACCTTCTACGGTAGGTGAAAGCCCTGTTCTCTGCAGAATTTTCCCTTCTCATTTTAAAGCAGGCGAGTTGGATCTACCACAATGAGGCTCAAGTACTCATAAATTGTCTGTGGGCCTGAATCCAGGTGTAAGCATTATTCAAACACAGTACGTAGTGTGTAACCTCCTGCATAAGTGGTGGGACTTCCCAGCTGCTGGGCCACAAGTTCCTCACCCATGAGAGACTGAGGGACACCTACTAGGGGGACCAGCTGTGTATCTCTTGGCTTTGTGAACTCAGACAACAAGCTGCTGTAAACTTGGCTCTTGGCAAAGGCCAAGAGTGACCATACTAAAAATACTCTAGTGCTCAACAGTTTTACATGACGCTATTAAGTGCTACTCACCCTGGCCCTGACACCACTAATTCAGCTTCACCTCTGCTGAAAAACAGGTGCAAATCATTCTAGTGTAAAAAACATATGGATGAGCTAGACTAACTGGTGGGTAAACAGAGTAGCCCCTGCATGAGCACACTGTTTTATGCAAACGCCACCTCTTTTTACCTCGTTAGTTCCTCTGTTATGGCAGAGAAGTGAATGACACAGCACAATCTGCTCTCCATCGCGGGGGCAAGAGGGCTCAGCCCGAGAGCTAAGGGACACCTGGGTGGAGGTGAGGGATCTGTTCCCAGTTCAGTCGGTTGTTTCCTATTTCATATCAGAGAAATTATTTTTACCTCAGGTTCCACATCCACTTAATGACTTTGAGAAAGTCATTTGAGATACTGGAGTACAAAGCATCACCTCAGAGCTGTATTACCCTCATCGTCTCTGAATGATGGACTTGTATCTGTCATGCTGGGAAAATTCCTCTTTCATGCCTAGCCCATAACATGTATCTGATGACAGCAGCTGGGACAGAGCTAATCTTGTCTGGCTGAAGTACGAAGATCCTTTTGCATGTGCAGGTTTTGCTTAAGTGATTTAACTCCTTTCTGTTTCCTTTTCATAGGAGAAGTTGAAGATGAGCTACTCCATACATACACCAAAGTGTACACCTTCGACACCCTCTTACTGTCAGTTCGCCTGGCAGTGCTGATGGCTGTAACCCTGACCGTGCCCCTTGTACTTTTCCCTGTAAGTAACACGGCTGCTGAAGCTGAAGTCAGGGCTAGCCCATATACACTGGCTGCACATACTTAGCACAGACAGGCATTGAAGAAAAGTAAGCCTGAGTTTTTTATTTGGGAGGGTCCGGTTTCTCATATGCAGTTTGACCAGAGTAAGGACCTAGGTAGTTAGGGTTGCAAACTTTGAAAGACTGAAATAAATCAGTCTTTATAAATAAATCAGAAATAAATCAGGAACAACTGCCCTGTCTCTCTCCAGCTCTCTCTGTACTATATTTAACAGAGCAGCAGTGTAAGTACTGAAGACTTGGGGATGTATTGAAACCACTTACGAGATTTCCTAATACAGACATAGGCACCTACTATAGCATCCAAGCTCAAGAAAGACACGTGCAGCTCAGGGCACGTGCTGTGCAGCGCTGCCAGACCTGGCTGCCAAGGTAGAGAGGCAGGGGCCCGGTACACACCTTCCATACTAGAGTCTATGGACAGGAGAGAAAGCCAAGTGCCAGGAAAACAGATGCAGTCAAGACCCAGCCACATAGCCAGGTGTCTGAGCAAAGTTTAGCACTTCTAGGTGCTGTTCACAGAGAAAAACACAACATCCACAGTAGCAGGGACAGAAAGGCACAGCTAAACAAACAGCTCTTGCAGAGGGACTGATCCTCCTCAGGGACCGGTCCCCACCTGAAGAGCAGACCTCCAGGCTCCTGAACGTACAGAATTGTCCCTCGTGCCTTCCCTGAGCTGCCACACAGCAGGGGAGAACACAGTTGGTTCTGGTCAGAAAGTTTTGGGAGGCTGGTGTGCCATTTGTACGGCACGTACAAGCCCGGCATCATGCAGTCAGCAGCTTCCCAGCAATCTGTGTCACACTGTAGAGTTCCCGTATGATGAGAGCAGTTGGGGTCCTGTTGCTCCGTTGTCCAGAATGAAAACACAAGCTCTGCATAGGTACTGTTTCCAGGCTTGCTGACAAATACCTAAGAGCAGGGATCACCATTCAAAATTGTCTACAAAAAAATACGTTCTGGTATAAAGCACCGAGAGATCAGTCCATCTAGTTTACAGAACACGCCAGTGCTCTGCCTTAAACTTTGTGTTTCAACCAGCGAATAAATGCTTAAACTGGTCTTAACTCACTGATCGCTATTCACGAGAAAACAAGCTAAGAGCGTTGCAAAAGGCTCTATCTGACAGATGTAGCATTTTGTATTTTTAGCTTTCTGTATAATCATTTTTATACCTGAATAGCATGCAAAGGCTTAGCAGTTACATACCACAGTACTAATTGCTCTATTAAAAGAACTCCCGAGAAAATATCATTTGCTTGTAAGCCACCATATCAATTTTATATGGCCTGTCAGGACAGCCGGCTCAGCAGGTCTAACTACTCCAAATAAGCAGTATGGTTGTATCAACTACTTTTTCTATGAACTACCACATTTGTATTTTCTTAAAGTAGTCAGAGTTTATTCTTTTCAAAAAAAAAAAAAGACATCATTGTATTGCTAAAAAATAAAATTAAATATAGATCTATGTACCATTAGTCGCTGCAAGATGTCAGTTTGATAGCTTCATTTTAAGGACAATGTCGCAGCAGGAATAAGGCACAAGATGCTGACAAGAAGTGAACAGGAATGCAGGCAGCAGTCCTTTGGTGGAATAAAGCTGTTCTGTACCAACTCAGGGACTGGACAACAGTTTTGCTGTCTGTCTCCCTCTTCCTAAGATTGGCTCACAACAACCTGAGAAACATGAACCGCAAAATTCATGCTGTGTTTTCAAACTATGGGCTCTGAGTCTGACAGCACTCCATACATTTATTGAATTGCCAGGCTCATCCAGAAACAGCCGTCTGTTATTTTAAAACAAGAAAATAGAGGTGGGTTTTGAGCTTTTTTTTCAGTATAAAAACATTTTTGTTCAACTTCTACATTTCAAATCTTTTAAGTTAATCACGGTACTGCAGAGTAACTCTATCTCCTGCCACCATAGGGATTTGCTGTTGACCTTTTTCCTACTTACCATCTTTGCTGATGAAAGAGCAAAAAAACTCTGGGTTGTGTGAGAAGGTCAGCAGAGCAAAGAGGATCCTCTGCAATTCCTTTTAGGTTTATAATGTCCAAGTGGCATTGAAAAATATGCTTATATTTTGAGAGAGAGAGATATAGATGTATATGTGTATGTATATGTATATATTTAATGGAAGTAAAACACGAGCATGCTCGTTCTCTCACAAAAGTACATGACAGAACTCTTGTGGGATTTTCAGAGGGATCAGGTTCAGGAATACAGCAACTCATATTTCACCCCGGCATTTTTTGCCTGCTGATTAGTATTCGTAGCAGGGGTTTCTTGGAGGGGGTTTTTGCTGATATTAGCATCTTTCAGTTGAACAGATTTCATGTCCCTGATTTTACACGCTATTTACTTGACTTTCTTCTACACTGCAAATATTTGAGTTTCTGCATTAAACTGTGAACCCAGTTCTCGAAAACCTACATCAGAGTGAGATTACGTTAAGGGAATCAAAGACGGAAAACATATTTCTTCAGCCAGAATTTCTCACAGCAAAAGTAACTGGTGTGGATCATTTAAAAAAATGAAAAGCAAAGATAAATTAATTGCTGTTTTACTTTCCCTGCTGGTTTTCATCTTACAGGTCCGTTCATCTATCAGTGCATTGCTGTTTCCCAAAACGCCGTTCAGCTGGATAAGACATTTCCTGATTGCAGCAGTAATTCTTGCTTTTAATAACCTGCTTGTAATTTTTGTCCCGACTATCAAAGACATCTTTGGATTTATCGGTAGGTTTCATAAATAATTTTTGTTTACTCTGTTAATCCTTTCCACAACATATTTAGATTCATGGACTGAATGACAGTCTCAGTTTAGGTTCTACAGTAGAGTAACATAAACACTGATTAAAGTTAAGAGGGACATAAAATTTCCCAAACAACTGACATAAATGCTACCTTACATGAGGCACAAGGTATCCAATAATCCCAGAATAAAAAATGGTAAGGAATTTTCATTTTGACAAAAAGGGGATTTAGTGCTTGTGGGGGAGAGGGAAATCACCTTTGGTTTTCAAGCATCTGTAGCCTGGACAAAATGTATTGACTCCCAAACTGTAATGTTAGAAAAAGGAGAAAAGTAAGAGAGGAAAAGAGAGAAAAAGGAGGAAAATGTCTTTTGACATTCACAGTTTTCTCCCTACCTCGTTCTTTCAGTCAGTTTTGGCTTCTGACCAAAGAGGTCCATGAGGACCCTCCATGCTCTGAGCTGCTTGAGGACTCGGGGATGCAGATGTCCTTGAGAAAGATACCTCCATGGGGCTTCTGCCTTTTTGGTATTTAATACTCCATGCCAGCAGTCAGTTTGTGCCTCCCTGGCTTTTACACCTGGGCCACCCCACTGGGCTCTGCTGGGAGGAGAGGCGTAGGCACAGCCCGTCTGCCCTGTTTTCAACAACTGCTTTCCAGGGCCATCACACCCCAGGAGTGCTGGTCTGTCCCCACTTGACCGGCCCACATGCAGATGTCCGTATCACAGGCAGCCACACCAGTTTGAAAAAATCCTCTTGGCAATGAGTGCCTCTTTGGGCCCTGAGCACTCAAATAAGTGTTTGGACATCTGCAGCTCTGCGTGAATGCTGTACAGAGAGAGCCCCTTGTGCAGCCGGGCTTGGACGGGCAGCTGCCTCCCCACATGCTCTCTTTCACAGGTGCACCACGTTGCTTACGTGTCAGACGGCAAAGTACCCACCTCTGCTTTCTCTTCCAGGTGCCTCTTCTGCTACGATGCTTATTTTCATCCTCCCTGCTCTCTTCTATGTGCGGCTCGTTGAGAAGGAGCCCCTGAGGTCTCCCCAGAAGATCGGGGTAAGGTTGCTGGCAGCATTTGCCAAAGGAAGGATGGGAGGGTGCGTGCTTTCCACTGGCCACAAATACTCAGCCCTTTGACTTGCAACACCCAGGAGCTGATCACAAATGGTAGTGTCTCACTCCAAATATAGGCTGGGCAGTGTGCTTTACCTTAGCGTGGAGACCCAGGCTTCACAACACTTTAGTGCCCTACTGTTACTGATACATAACAGTAAGTGTTTGGGTTAACATGTGTCTTAAATAGCTAGAAAAAGGCATTTATTTAATCCAATCTAGACTTTAGTTAACACCTGCACTTGTATAAATAACACCTAGACAGCGTATAAGGAGCTGTTGGTTCATGCTAGAAGGCCAGTTGTGGATTAACAGGAAGATTTGAGGTCAATGTTAAGAAGTTGTACTGCAAAGATAATTAAGTAATAGTGAGGTTCCCACTGAGATAGATCCATACACCTACAGGAGACATATATGAAGGTCTATCATTTATAGACAGGATGTGTTTCTATGTCGTGCTGGACTGCCACAGCGGTACCTTTCATCCTGAACATCAGTAGCTGTCTGCACATATAATGATATCACCAAGGAGATGTCCTTTGAAAATTTAATCAGAAAAGTTATTGATGAAATATATATGCAGGCACATAATGTAAACAGATGTACATATGTGCATCTATATAAAAGTTCACACAAAACATGGAAGTTCAACAAATACATACTGCAAGTATAAAAGCAAAGTTTGTTATCATAAAATCATTTCTGAGGATGACTTTTGGAGCTGTTATTACAGAAAGACTGTGAATATTTGTTCATGTCTCTTTGTTCATTCTTCATGTTGCTGTGCGTTAGGCATATCTAGAATTTCACAGCCTGCACTGAGATCACATACAATATTCATCTTTGTGTTGCAAAGCAGAATATTGTTCAGTGTGGACAGATTACAGTAAACTAAAGCCCCGCCAAAGCAAGGGGGAATGTAAGCATCTGAAGCACTTGAATATATACAGAAATGCCTTCAAAGAGAGATGGGCTTACCTGTTTGTCTAATAAGGATGAAAAGGATTAACTCTGAAGCTGTTCTTGATATCAGAGACAATCATCATTCATTGAAAATTGGTCAGGTTTAAAGAAAAAAACTGTTCCTCTGTTATATTTTGCATCATTGTTAATAATAACAAAGAGGGGTCTCTTCAGGTCTGGTCTTGTAAAGCCTGGCTCTCTTGGGCTGAAATTCACACAAGGCTAACTTTGATTCACGTAGTCATGTGTGATGTTGCTTGGGCCACAGAGAATGCCCCAAACTCAAGCCCTGGGTGTTACATACATGTGGTTCAAGTGGGACAGTCTGTGAACTACAGTCTGCTCAGTCACTTGCTTTATTAATACAATTTAATTTTCCAATTGCAGGCTTTAATTTTTCTCATTCTTGGCATAATCTTCATGATTGTGAGTATGACTCTTATTGTAATGGACTGGATTTACAATCCCCCAAGTTCCAGACATCACTAACCTGTGGAGACAACGGAGTGCTTTTTATACCATAAATATTTGTATTGTGTGCTCCAAAGGACACCTGAATGGGACTGTTATTCCTAGCTAGTAACTGCAGTATTTTGAAGACAGTTCCTGGTAAGGTCACTAGAACCCAACGGAGTCTACGTCATCCTTTTCACTAAGGATCATTATTTATGCATTAGGAACCTGAGCTTAGCATTTCTGGCCAGGTTGAATGAAACGCGTGGTGTGGATGCTTTCTGTTTTCAAAACCAAAATAACTGTGTACATAGTCCTCAAAAATAGCTTGGTGTCACCCTTTTCAACCTCTCCCGTCATGCTAATAACCACAGTTCCTAGAGCCCTGGAAAGGTAATGGCCAGAAAACCAGCAAGTGCCTTGTTTTCTATCTGAAGCTCATAGGAGCGGCTGCCCAGCTCCAAGAGAAAGGGTATGGTTTCTGTAGGGTATCTGAAAGCTGACTGCTCCCTACCTACCTGTCTATCGGAAACGTGATGGCTTTGACAAGCCAGCAGGGAAAGCTGAGCATCAGATTTGCTGCCCAAATTCGTCGCCCTAGGCAGGTGACCACTGCTGTACAGGATAAAGCTCTCTGGCACAGACCCCGTGCTGGGGTACACGCTTGGAGAACAGTTGAGCATTCACATTTTGTTGTTAGAGAGGCCTGTGCTGGAAATGTCAGGCATTTCTGCTGTGGTTTTTTTTTTGGTTTTCTTTACTTTTTTTTAATTCTTGTGTGAGCTTGCATCACTGAACAAGTTGTATCCTCCATAGAAACTTGTCTTCCATACTCACGGGAATTTAAGGAGACCACAAGGTGTGGCAGAGCACCCTATCCAGTATTGTTCAGTACTTGTGTATTTGATAAAAGTTCAGTGCAGGAAACTGTAATTTGCTATATATAAGAATATATGTATTTATGTACATAATTTTTTGTTTTCCTCTAGTTATAAAAATGTTACCCTGTGGTAAATGATTTTTGAAAATTTTTTTATGTGTCATTCTGTTTTCATAGCCACACACTTAATACTGTTTTGAAAAAACATATTGGATTGGTGGGTTTGTAAAAGGTTCATTTTTATTCAGGGCTGTTTGACATATACCTGTAGCAAGCCCTAACTCTTACCTGTGTAAAAACACATTCAGATGTTTACTACGTATGTTACAATAAATTGCAAGATGTTTTTCTCTTGGGAATTTTTAATACATGCCTCAAAGTTCTGTATTACCATCGTAAACCATGAATTTGGGTAACTTGCTCTGTTGCTGTACCTTAGCTTGCCTATGCATATGCTAGCATCCAACGACATATATAATTAAGCCAGGCAAAGGAAAAGATGCTACTCACAATCTCAAGTGTATCATGCTATGCAGCTGTGAAGACAGAAAAAAAAAAAAAAGGTTAAGTTCTGTGTTATATGGATGCTTAATTAACACTCAGTACCCTCCAGGCTGTGATTTTTTTCTATGCTGTGGAGTACCCACTACATATGCTCTCTGTACACACCAGGGAAAAACAGTCGGAGAAGCCACATGAACTCCATAGCAGAGGGAATGAGTGGGAAGGTGCGACTGTTGGTTTTAACACGCTCACACAAATCCAGGCTCATGTAATTGCAGTATTCATTTTTCAGCTTAGAAATCTGGTGAGTACACACCTGTGAACTCAGAAAGCCCTAAAGGACACAAAAGTTGACTCTGCTCCCTCATCAGCTTCACACGAAATTCAGTGCGTGTGTAAATGTGTGTGTGCAGAAATGTGTGTGTATACGTGTGTGTCTACTTACAGGTTAACTGGAAAAGCCTATCAAATATATATTCCATGTTAGCTGCTATATTTCTGAGCAGTATTTTATGCTCGCTTGAGTACTGTATCCTTAATACACAGGGGCACGCTGCCTTGCGAATGCTAAGTCCGGGTTTGCATTTTTTAAAGAAAAAGGCACCAACAATCTTTTGCTCTATTTTAAGCAGACTAATACAAATAATGCCGCATTATTACTGAAGAGACCTTTAACATGGACTAGACTTAGCAGCAACACACCCAGGCACCTCCCTTCCCGTTGCCCTTACTGGGAGTTACATGTATGGAAGAAGTGAACTGTCACTGCATCTTTGCTTCAGAGCAAAAGCACATGTAATGACGGCAGCTGCATGTGGAGACTTAGGAATTCATGTAGCCCACCTAAAGTAGAGAAGACCACAAGAAAAGTAACAGAAAAACTATGGAACAATGGCACAAGTCACTGACTTCTCATGGCACAAGACTCTCAGTGTCCAAACAGAGGCAGAGAGTCTGTAAAATGTCAATTTTTTGAGTTAAAATACGTTGGTCACAGCAGTATGTAGCTTCCACACATACTGGGAGTGAGGGTAGTATTGCACACTAACTTAGTAGCACTGCTTGGAGTGGTGGATGTTGGAGTTTCTTGTTCATTTTGTAATGTTGACAATAGGCCTCGTGAGTATTTTTATTACAAAATTAATGTACAATATATGAATCTTTCAAAGACCGCAGAACTTTTTTCTTCTGTTTAAGCCAGCAGGGAAGGAATTTTTTGAAAATCAAGCCGAGTCAAACAGGTAGCCTTAACATGAAGCATCACTAAAACTGCATTCCCTTTTAAGAGAGAAATTTGTGTGTCTGTGCGTCTGTAGATGAGCAAGACAGCAGACAGGGCGGCCCCTCCATATAATAACCTTCATGCACACCCTGGTTTGTATCTATTCGTGGAGCTGCACAGACATCACCGGGTAGAGAATGGCTGGCGCTAGAAGCGGGGTTATCTGCGAGATACTGAACGCCTCGTTCTTTGGAGCGTGGGATTAGCCGGGATGCACAGTGTAGCAGTAAGCATAGTCGCTATTAGGAGTGCACACCAGATGGTACCGCTCTGTATAAATACATCCTATCATTGCAGCTGTAGGTTTTCCTGCTGTTACATATTTGTCTGGAGCATAATCGTAGCCCAAAATATACTGGTCTATACGCCGCTCCAGCACCGATGAGCTCATGTGAGAGCCACGCTCGCAGACCCGGCCAGCCAGGGTTTGCAACCTGCCCACTAACAAGGGAGGCATTGCAGGCCCAGACACTTGCTCAACACCTGCGACACGAACAGCCTCCCCAGTTTTCTCCTTGCCTTGGGCTTAGGTATCCTCAATTCCCTGGCAGCATCTCCTTTGCTCTGTCTTGATGGTGCTTGAGCCGTAAACTTCTTGTGGCCAGCTAAACAATTAGCGGATGTAAACAATTAGGAGATGAATGAGGAGAGTTAAAGAAAAGGAAAAGGCATGTCTTCAAGGGCAAAAAAAAGAAAGCAATGAAAATGTATTAGAAATTTTAGTGGTCGTAGAGGTGTGTCATTAAATGGATGTGTCAAGAATGGCAGAAGTGATATAGAAAAAAACCCCAGAAGTACTCAATTTCAGCTCTGGATTTGGAAAGAGGCAGAAAAAGGGACACATGTTAGAGGGCAAAGTCCTCTCTAGTCCATAAATAATCAAAGATGATGTTAAACAACATCTATCTGAAAGAAGGGCAGCAGGCTTAGATAAGCCACAAAGCAGCTGGCTCCAGCGTTAATTTTCAGTAAACCCTGGCATGCTTGGCTAGTTCTCAATGGCTGACGTAATGCTAATTAGAGCCAGTCAGCAATTACTCACTGAGAAGTCTAGTTAGTGCCATAGATGGAAAAATTCTATTTATTTGACTTTAAATTTCAATGGAAGTTTTACTGAAAAAGTGTCATTGCAACTAAATTCTGGTAGAGCCCAGGCAGACAAAACCTGCCTGGTTTTCCATTAACCCGCCTGGCAAGGTTCTGGGAGCTTCTGGGGGTTACAGCTCCAGGTCCTGAACCTGGGTGATAAGGCTTTTCATAAAGAGCATGAGAAATATGAAGCTGGAAGGGATCTCAAGTAACCTCCCATTCCACACCTGGGTTAGAGAACAGTCTTGAGGTAGTGTTTGCAGGAAACAACATTGGCTCCAGCTGCTCATTTCAGACACTTAGTAAACTACATGGGGAAAAAAAAAAAAAAGAATTATGTGCTAACTGGTCTCACAGCCACTAACACCTGCGAGGAGCTGCTGTTTCCAGCTACACAGGAGACATCACTGGCACCCCAGTACTCTCTGGATGCTGCGATGCTGGGGGGGCCCAAGCTCCCCTGCAGCTGGGACGGCTTGGTGGCACTCACAGTGCTGCAGAGCTGTCGCCTTCATCAGCAGAGTGTAATGCTGAAAGTCATCACATCACGTGAATCCTAGGTACCCCTGCTCACCTGGTGAGCCAAGTTCTAAACACAATGCATCGTGTGATGATAAATAGCTTTGGAAATCAATACGCTGCCCTAATTTTGCTACGTAAAGTGAGATGGAGCCCTTGTTCTGTTACTAACACTAAACGAGAAGGTGTTTATCCCTCAGCAGAAGCGAAGCTAAATATAAAAGGATGCTCACTTGGCCACAGCTCTCTGGGACACTTTGAAGTGGACGTTTCAAGTTCCACGTGCTCAAATGGAAAATGTTCACAGCATTCATTCATCTTTACATGCAGCACGTGCCTCTCCTGGCGCATTTATCTTAAGACTTGGGAAAGTTACCCTAAGTAACAGACTGCCTACACAAAATTTATTACCTAGCTGTTTATTCCCAAAAGGAGGGTCCGTACCTCCTGTGAGGGGGAAGCTTGCCGATGATGGCTGCATGCCACCAGCATCAGCCTCCTTTTTCTGTTCTGACCAAGGTGAAATTTCTGTCTCTTCCAGCACAGAGCGCCTGACTCACCCCACCCTTTCTTTCCGAGATCGCTGGGTTTAGCTTTGACACAAGCAGCTCAAGCAATTGGCCCCGTTTCCAGATTGCAGTGATCAAACTAACCCCACACACAGCTTCACGGGCGTGAGTTAATACAAGTGCTGACACTAAGATTGACATTTCTCCTTTGAATCCCCACCTTTAACTTTGTCACCCTGAGCAAACATTTCTG